ACCACCACAGTGCAACACACACACACACCACCACAGTACAACACACATAAGCCACCACAGTACAACACACACACATACCACCACAGTACAACACACACACATACCACCACAGTACAACACACATAAGCCACCACAGTGCAACAAACTTAGAGATGAGTGGTGGTTGAGTCTCACAACAGACTTACCTTCTTTAAGGTGTATTCTCACTCTGAAACAATACTAAATAGTCATTGAAAGACTTTTACTGTTAACTTTTCTAGATGCCAAAGTAGTTAGAACACTCCTTCATTTAAGGACACAGCTAATTTATAAATGCTTAACTTTAGATTGGCTTATCAACCACACTGTCATCAAATGAAAAGTACCGCCTTTTAAATTCAGGGAATAATTTATAAATTGGAAATGACTTTACATTTCCATATCATATTCTAGTTCTCATTTTGCATTACTTTTAAACCCTCTGCCTCTTCGTACTTACAGATCAGAATTACCATAATCTCATCTTCAGTAGAGCTCCATTAAAAGATGACACTACATTCCCATCTTTTTTTTTTTTTTTAATGATTTATTGTGAATTATGTGATAGTTTACATGGGAGAATATTACTTTTACGTTCATTCCATCATATATCGTCTCATTGCCATGGTTACAATCCCCTCCATGCAATCCTTCTCCCGTGCCCCTCAGGTCTTCAGCACACAGTCGCTCTCGCTCTCTGGATCTAAAGTCTCCAGCTGCTCCATCACTCCACAACATCATCTTTGGCTCCATTTCAGGCATCATTGCTTCTCTGGTTAGGGTCCCGCTCTCTGCTCCTCTCCCTTGGCGGTCCCAGGGACCTCAGCTCCTAGTACATTCCCATCTTATTAAAGGATTCTAAACCTGATTCGTTTCTCATATAATTATAGTGTGCCAGACAGCACTTCACAACCACAACAACATACTTCTAGGAGTACCCAGTGTGGCACTGCTGGTTAATGCGCTGGATTGCAAAGTTGGTTTGAACCACAGTCTCACCAGCTGCTCCTCGAAAACCCTATACAGGGTCGCTATGAATCAGAACCAACTCAACAGCACTGAACAACAACAAATACTTCTTGGAGTCCTGGTGTGGTACTGTAGGATTAGCACAGGACTATTGACCACAAGGTCATTGATTCAAACCCACCACCCACTCCTTGGAAACACTACACAGGTTTGCTATGAGTCAGAACACTCAACAGCAATTAATAACAATGCTGCCTGCTTGCTTTCAGTAAAGTTATGTTTGACTAATCAGATGTGTTTTCATCATCATGCTATATAATAAATTCAAATATGTATTTAACAGTTTTACTCAAGGTTTTTTTCCTTTTGGCCTTGTTCTTTTCCTTTTGGCCTTGTTCTTTGCTAAGTGTTTATTATATAGAATTGGTCATTTAAAAAAATTTAGGTGATTGTGCTAGTATTTTTCAGCTATTCCAAGTCTAGACTCCTGGTGTGCTGCTGTAGGTAGGATCAGCACTGGACTGTGAACCACAAAGTCAACAGTTCAAACCCACCATCTGCTCCTGAAAAACCTTGTAGAGTTGCTCTGAGTCCGAACCAACTTGACGGCACTTAAAAGTATATAGGTCTAAATGAAATCTTAATATTAGCATTTGAGTCCTATGTACGTTTTTGGATGGTCAGTTTTCCAGATGGTTGTTTTTATGATTTCTCAAAGTTATATCCTGAGTGGAAACAATACATTAAGGTTTTTCATACTGAAAAACTTTCTTAAAATTTATTTTTAATGAATATTGTCTGAGTATGATTAATACAGTTCATACTGAATTTTTAACTTTTATAGATTGATTATAATTAAACCTAGATATTGGTGAGAAGGAAATATATTAGATGAAAATAGTCATGCATTTTAAACAAATACTAGAAACTTATATTATTCATTTGTTTTAAAGATAAGATGTCAACAGAAAGAAGAAAACTATTAATGGATCACATCTTCAAGCTACAGGAGTTTTGTAACAGCATGGTTAAACTCTGCATTGATGGATATGAATATGCCTACCTGAAGGCAATAGTACTATTCAGCCCAGGTATATATAGAAACATTTCACTACTTATTTAAAATGCGATGGTTGACCGTGTGGAGTAAACCTAACCCATAGACACTGGTGGAGGGAATGTAAAGTTATGTGGGTACTTTGGGAAACAGTTCCTCAAAATGTTAAACAGAAATTTACCACGTGACCCAGCAGTTCCACACTTAGATACAGGTTTAAGACATGAAGATATGTGACCATACAAATATTTGTACATGAGTGTTCATAGCAGCATTTTTCAAAATAGGTAAAATGTAGGTGCCTGTCAACTGATGAATGGAATTTTAAAATATGAGATAATATGTTTACAATGGAATATTTTTTGGCAATAAAGTACTGGTATATGTTCCAACATGGATGAACCTTAAAACCATTACTCTTTGTGAAAGAAGTTAATCAAAGGACCATATAGTATAATTCCATTTATCTGAAATATCTACAGTAGGGAAATTTACAGAGACATAAAATAATGTTTGCTAGGGACTAGGAATATGGAGGAAAGGGTATGAAATTTCATTTGGGTGACCAAAATGGTGAATTTTCTTATTGGGGTGACCACAGTGTTTGAAAATTAGATTGTGGTGACAGTTGTACAAATCTGTGTACTAAAAATTGTTTTATATATTTTGAAATATTGTGTTTTATGGTATGTCAGTTGGATCTCAATTTTAAGTGTTCTTTGCTGGTTTCATAAATGTTTGGCAGTGTTTACTACTACTACATTTAAACTTCATGTGTTGTATTGCACAGATTTTAAACTTTGGTAACATCGAATATACTAAAACTATTATTTGTACATATTAAGACTTCTTTGCTCAGTGTGAACCTCATGTTAGAAATTTGTCTGGCTATGCGAGGGGCTTCAAACATTAAAAGTTCTATTATCTTTTCATTCCATTTTTCTAGGAACTCTTTGAAGTCTCCTCCAATAAGGACCGTTGAATAAATTAGTGCTAAGACTTAGATCTTTAGTTTGTTGCATTAGCATTTGAATTCTTAAATATGTTTTATTGTTGTTGTGAAGTGTGCAGTCCAGTGGGTTTTGACTCATAGCAACCCTCTGTAGGGTTTCCGAGGAGCAGCAACTGGGTTTGAACTGCCAGCCTTGTGTTTTGCAGTCCAGTGCTTATCTTATATTGCCACACTGTTGTTTAATGGCAGATTGAGAGATTAGTATTATGTTGCTGGGTAAATTCCCAAACATTTTTTTAAAGTTAACAACAAATAAAAAAGGGACCCTTTATTTATCAGTTTTATAGTTTTCTCATAAAACCATTTGATAGTACACTCAATGATCAATTTCTGAGTAGTAGAAGTGACTTTTGTTAGATCCTATGTTTTTCCTTGGGGAATTGTATTAATCCTTGTGAGAGGGATATCATATTTGGTTAGGTGGAGGGTCAGAGAAAAAGAGGAAACACCCAACAAGATGGATAGGCAAAGTGGCAGCATCAGTAGGTTCAAGCATGGCAACAATTGTGAGGTTAGCCCAGGATAGGGCAGTGTTTCATTCTGCTGTGCATAGGGTCGCTATGAGTTGGTACCGACTCGATGGCACCTAACAATAACAGTATAACAAAGCTGAGGAATTTTCCTGCTTCCTGGTGTGGCACTGTGGGTAAATGCACTGGACTGCAATGTCAGTTTGAACCGCAAGGTCAGCAGTCCAGGCTCACCAGCTGTTCCTTGGAAACCCTATACAGGGTCACTATGAATCGAGACTGATTGGACGACATTTAGCAACAACAACATTCAGTGATGGAGTCCTGGTGTGGCACTGTAGGATAAGCAGTGGGCCGCAACATCGGTCTGAACTGCGAAGTTAGCAGTTCAAACCCACCAGCTGCTTATTGGAAACCCTATACAGGGTCCCTATGAGTCGGAACCGACTCGACAGCAGTAACAACAACAACTCAATGATACCAACAAGACAAAGCTTTTTCATACTCTTTCTTCTAAGGTCTCACACAAGTTAGTGACAGTGTCATTTTTATTACAATTTGCCACTTTCCTTTTATTTAAAATTTAAAGAACACAGATTTAGAGTTAGAATTCTAAGGTAATTGTATTTGACTAAGTATTTTCTGTATTTTTATCAGTTTTTATTCTTTTTACTCAGCTCAGAGCTTTCCATAGTTTTGAATATGCCTTAAGTCAGGCACAATTTTTATGTCATTCTATCAATATTTGGATTCATTCAAATGCCATAACCCACTGCTATCAAGTTGACGCCAACTCATAGCTACCCTGTATAGGGTTGTCGAAGCTCTAAATTTTCAGGGGAATAGAAAGCTTCATCTTTCTCCTGAGGAGTAGCTGCTGGGTTTGAACTACCAAGCTTGTAGTTAGCAGTCCATTGTTTATGAAATGGTTTAGATTATTTCTTGTTTTTATCAAGTTTTTTAAATGTAGATGACGTACTATGATGTTTTCTCTTTTTACCTATTAATAGTGTTTTTTTTATTAATAGTTTTTACAATATAGAATTTAACTTGAAAATTATCATTGGATTAAAGATTTTTAAACTATAAACTGAATCATTTTTAAATTTTTTTCTTCCCTGTTAAAAGCAAAATTATCAAAGTCTTTTGCTTCCCTTTTTGAATGAGGGAGTAAGTTATTTTTGGAGAATTCAATTGACTTATTTTTTATTAGATATTGGAGTGTGTGCATGAGATTAAACTATTTTAAGTGATTAAAATACAGTACCTGATACATAGTAAGTGGGCTCAATAAATATTTGTGGAATGAAAGATCCATATAGTATATGAAGAGCTTTTTTGTTGTGGGTTTTTTTTTTTTTTGAGGGGCCCTGGTGTGGCGCTGTGGGTTAATGCGCTGGACCGCAAGATCAGTTTGAACTGTAAGGTTGGCAATTCAAGCTGACCGGCCACTCCTTGGAAACTCTGTATAGAGTCGCTAGGAATCAGGATTGACTCAACAGCACTTAACAGCAACAAATTATTTTCGCACCTCTTTCACCTGTATTCCTAGCTCTTTAATTAAATGAACATTCAGAACTGGGATAAAAATATATTCTTTTATTTTTCAGATCATCCTGGCCTAGAAAACATGCAGCAGATTGAGAAATTTCAGGAAAAGGCTTATGTGGAATTCCAAGATTACATAACCAAAACATATCCAGATGACACTTACCGGTATGTGAAAATTAAACAATGAAATTCATTTTTAGCATTTTTTGTGTATCTTTTATTTCATTATTTTCCACTCCAAGGGTAATTAACATTGACTTTTCAAATAGCAAATACTGTTGACAACAGCACTGCATCCCAAGCTTTTTCCATATGAAAATCCAGTTTTCACGTTTTATACAAGGTGAATTGTGGAAACATAGAATTAAAAGGTAATGCCTTTTTCCATGAACCTTTTGAAGCTCTCTCATAGAGAGTCCTGGTGTGGCGCTGTAAAATAACCACTGCACTGCAAGGTTGGTTTGAACCGAAAGGTCAGCGGTTCAGATTCACCAGCCGCTCCTCAGAAACGCTTTACAGGGTCACTGTGTGTCAGAACCAACTTGACGGCATTTAGTAACAACAGCAACATAGAAGAGGAGTCTTCAGCATGGAAATTAGGTAACTTGTTCAAGAGTTCAAGGTAACACAATTTATGGTTGTGCTAGAGTCAAACTGAATATTTTCTTCAGATGAATTAGTGGATTTTATTAGTAAAAGGGAAAAATGTTTTAATGAATGAAAAAACACTATTTAACAATATTTTGTCATTAATTTTGAAATGTGGCTTGTGATATTTCTATCTTCCTAGTGTTTATTTGAGAAAAAAGATGCCACTTATAAGATAACTCAGTTTTGGGGGACATCTGGTGTAGTAGAGTAGCTCGGTACACAAACATCAAATCCACAGTAACTGGTTTGAATCCTGGCTCTCCCACTAAGTAGCTTTGTGAAATCTTGTGTAAGTAGTATAAGCAACACAGCATAGCTGGAGGAGCAAAGTTTTGCTGTGCAGTCTGTATCTACCTTTATATCCAGGTGGTTGTCATGCACTAAATTTAAAGCTTGAGAATATGAAAGCTCTGATTTTAACTTTAAAAAATGACTACCCATCGTGAGGAGGGATGTATGGAAGAAAATCATAGATGTATGGAAGCAATTAGTCCCTGTGAACCTCTGCCTCCACAACTCTGAGGCCAGAAGAAATAGATGTTGCCCAGCTACCACCACAGATCACTGTGAAAGGGAGGGAGGGATCACATTAGATGTTCCTGGATAGAGTTGGCGGGTGGAGGGTGGCGGGAGACCAGGGTTACTGAGCAGCTTGACACAGGTAGAACTTTGAGACTTTGCCCTTTAATAACACCTTAAGACTTGGAACTGAACTCGCCTCCATGTCATAATTTTTATCCAAACAGTACATCTTTTTTTTTAACAAAATAAAACTGAAGAGGTATGTACTTCTTAGAGTAATAAATTGTTTAATATTCAAAGGGCAACATTTGCCGAAAGACAAAGTTAGAGGATGAAGAGAGGAGAAACAGAAACAGGAAACACAGGGAAAGAAGTAAAATATTAATGTCACATTGTGGGGATTGCATTCAGTGACTTTTAAACAAAATGTATATGTGTTGTTCAGTGGAAAACTAAACCTTTATCCAATTCACAATACGTTTTTTTTTTTTGTTTTTTTTTTTAATGAAATCTTTTTAAAATTAGGCCACAGTCAGTAGATGTTGTTAGGTACCGTCGCGTTGGTTCCGACTCATAGCGACTCCCATACAAAACAGAACGAAACACTGACAGGTCCTTGTTATGCTCGAGCCCATTGCTGCATAAACAGTAGATATATAGGAATTAACTCATATTTATCCTGAATTTCTCTCTGATGTACAATTTTGATGTCTCCCTTCTCACTTTTTGTTGTTGTTGTTAGGTTATCCAGACTGCTACTCAGATTGCCAGCTTTGAGATTGATGAATGCTACAATCACTGAAGAACTGTTTTTCAAAGGTCTGATTGGCAATGTACGAATTGACAGCGTCATCCCACATATTTTAAAAATGGAGCCTGCAGATTATAACTCTCAAATTATTGGCCACAGTATTTGAAAGCTGGAATCTCAGTGCTGTGAGCCTGTTGTTCTCTCCCAGAACACAAGAAGACGCCAAATTGAACTCATTGCTTCCAGAATATCTGGAAATTTTGACTTTACAGAGTAACTAAAACTCAGCAAATGATTATTTTAATAACATCCTTAAAAAGATGTTTTAAAGTGATTGGGCAGGTAGCAGGAAGGAATTTCCATTTCCGTCTTATATAAGTGACTCTGCTCCTGATGAAGATGACACCTAAACTGTCACCTCTTGACTATCTAAATATGATCTCTCATTCTGTTTTATTTTATAAAACAAATAAATTAGTCTTATTTTTCATAATTGTGTTCTATTCATATTTAACTTCATATGAACTAGTACAATCACATTATAGTCAGAAATCCTTAAGGAGGATTTCCTGGATTTTATTCTTACATCATATAGTTCTGTTTTATTATAATGACTGTGTCAACAGAAGAATATTTTATGCTTAATGGTAACTGAATTATAGGAGATGGTTGGATATTATATATTTTTGTGTCTTTTGTAATTATGACATACTTTAGTAGATATTGCTCTCATTGCTGGCAATGAGACAGAGACCATTCGTACTCTTAAGAGTTGACATTTTTAGTGTATATTATTAGTTACAAGCACTTTTTATTTATGTAGCAGAAAATTGGTTTTACTAATAATGTAGGTTTCATGTTTTAATGTATTTACTGCTGTGCTTTTCAAGTAGTAGAGACTGAGCCCAGAAAGTTCCATTATTTTAGTATAGATATTAAAATTGTTGCTCTTCCATTCCACAAAAAGTATTCTGACCTCTCTTCTTTTCTGGCTGTATTATAGCTTCCTAACATGGCCATGGGATTTAGACAATTACTCTTAGGTCATTAGAAAAATTCACCCAATTTGTTAAATAATTTATCACAGGTAATCCATGTTTTAGACCATTATTTTAAATCGAGCTAATAATTTTTTTTTTTTTTTAATGTAACAGTTTCTGTAATATAGGAGTGCTGTGGCTCTGTAGAATAAGTACTGGATTGCAGATCACAAGTTCGGTGGTTCAAGCCCACCAGCCACTCCCTGGGAGAAAGTTGAGGCTTTCTGCTCCCACAAAGATTTACATCCTTGGAAACCCTATATAGGGTCATTATGAGTGGGAAGTGATTTGACAACACTTAACAATAGCAACAATATATAAAGGAATACACACTTCTTTTGCACTGTAAAAAAGGAGTGGGAAGCTACTTTCACTATAGTGTGAACATCAGCCTTGTTATTGCCACAGCAAAAGCCTTTTAGACTATCCTTTGATGTCTTCCACATTAATGTTTCTCTTAAGCCTGGTACTGTTATATTTAAGTTTTTGCTATGACTTACTTCATAATGAATTATTCCCGTGTGTCTGTTGATTTTTTAAAAACAAATACTGGGATTTATTCAAAGCACATTTTTAATGAATATTTTTACAGTAGACGAGAAGCTGCATTTTTGAAGGAAATGTAGATTTTATTGCTGCTTTATAGTAAATCAAATATTTAAAAGTTAAAGGTTTATCCACCTTTAATCTTTACTGATTTACTTAAGACCTTTTTCCCTTTATAAAACAGGAATTTTGCCAACAAGTCTATTTAATTATCAGGTGGGGAGAACTACATTTAAATATAAAAAAACTCAAATAGAAAAATCAGTGGTTTTACACCTTTATAAACCTAATATGGTAAGCCAAGGATTGAGGAAAATAATTGTTTAAAACAATGTACTTACTAATGGTTAAAATTCATGTTTCTTTCCTTTGATTAAATTTGTAGTTATATTTGGAAGCATTTTACAAACTATATTAAAATGTGACCTGCATTGCAAATCTTTATCCGGCTAATATATTTTAATTAAATATATTAGCCGGATAAAGATAATATATTAAAACATAATAAAACTGAAATGTTTTATATTCAATTTTGATCTGTTTTTTTGTTCCATTTTCTTTTCATCTTAAAGTATATGCTTACTGTGTTAAGAAAGCACTAAGTATTATCACTGATTTTAATTTATAAGTTAGAATTTATAAGCTTTTAAAATCAAGTGTTTAAATTTTCAATTTTCGTGATTTAGAATACATGGAATAAACTTTTAACATTTAAAAGTTAAAAGAATACATATAAAAACAGGGCAGACACATGTTAGTTAATTTGGGTGATGGGTGAGGCAGTTAAAAAAGGAAAGGAAAAAACCCACAACTGCTCTGTTCTGTAAACCTTCACCCAATTCCCAATAAAAAGTTTAAAACACATATATTTAAAAACATACAAATTGCTTTCATGTGTTGTATTGAATTCCATTATCTTTTATAACAGTTATATCTAAATGTTGACCCAAGAGATTTATTGACAGTTTCAGAAGGATTTCCCTCATAACATATTTTTTGGTACTTGTTGTTATGTGCCATCGTGTCAGCTTGACTCATAGTCACCCTATACACAACAGAACAAAACACTGCCTAGTCCTGCGCTGCCATAGCACGTGTTACCCTTGAGCCTATTGCTGCTCCCACTGTGCCAAACCATCTTTTTAGGGGTCTTCCTCTTTTTCACTGACTCTGTACTTAACTTTCTCCAGGAATTGGTCCTTATACCTTGCCCAAAGTATAAGAGTCTCGCCAACCTGACTTCTAAGGAGCATTTTGGCTGTCCTTCCTCCAACAAAGATTTGTTTGTTCTTCTGGCAGTCCATGGTACTTTCAGTATTCTTCTCCAACACCATAACTCAAATGTTTATGATGCTTAGATGGGTTGGTTTTACTTAAAATACTTCTAAGAAGAGAAAAACTTGTAAAACATTTCCTTATAGTGTATTTTAGCATTATTCACAATTCAGTTTGAATACTTAAACTAAATATTGCATACAGACCATTTATTTTCCTTCTTAAAAATCCCAGTAAAGTATAGTACAAATTACAAAAAAAAAAGAGAAAATAAGTTCAGTAAATTTATTTTGGAAAACGAAAAGATACACAAAAGACTGACTTAGCTGAGCTGGACCAAGGAACCTTTAGTGTTAGTGTTGGCAAAGGTAATTGCAATGAGGAAACAACCCATTCTGCCTTGCAGTAATGTTGCTTTTTTTAGGTGGGTTGAGTCAGTTCCTAATCATGGCAACCCTATTCAGGATGAAGCAAGGCCTGGTCCTGTGCCATCCTCACTATTGTTGCCATGTTTGAGCCAATTGTTGTAGCCACTGTGTCAATCCATCTTATAGGGGGTCTTCCTCTTTTCTGCTGACCATCTACTTTGCCAAGCATGATGTCCTTCTCCAGGGACATCCTGATAACATGTCCAAAATATGTGAGATGAAGCCTCAAC